AACCTGCATCCGTCCTTACTTCCCCCTTTCAGTACTGAGGTTGGTTGATTGCTACGTTACACCAGCTCCACCAGCTCCGATGTATGCTACTACAGACATCAAACAATCTACAAGAAACTCAAGAAGGTGTTTTATTTACAACGACTAATGCAATACCTAGCAACCTAAGCTTTCAAGACCTAATCGGCTATAACGTGTTGCTATAAACGTTTCCACCCAATTTAAACCATGGAAGTAAGTTTCATTGTTCGTTATATTTTGGTTTCAGAGTTGAATTCGTAGAGACAAACGCTTCTACTCCGAGTCCCAGAAGGTTTGAATTGGGTAGTAACGTACATAGCAACACGTTAGCCGATTAGGTGTACGGTTCAAACTGATAGTTGCCAGATTTCACTGTACTAGAAAGTGTGACCTTGCACAACTACTAAAACATACCGGCTGTTCATATAGATATGTTAAAAAGCGATATTAAAGATTTCCAAATATTAAATTCCTAAAATGAGAGGTAGTTTGAATTGGGCGAGGGACGAGTTGGAAATAGTTGGAAATAGGCCCCCTTTGCGCATGCGCTGAGTCCTGAAAGGAATTGTTCTGGTTGACACACAAGAGAGAGATTTTTTTTGTCTAAGAGAAGACGGCCTATTTTATCCCCTAGACCAATTCCTCAAGGAAATCAATGCAATATATAATATATATATATCGTACAATTACTAGAACAGATTGTGCAAGTTTAAAGGTGTGAGGTATCGAGACGCATCGACGCAAGTATTTGTTAGCTTAATGGCTAGTTATTGAACTGATACGCTTTCAACTCATACCATAGACCTTTACTTAGATAGCGAACGTGGCATAGTTTGGTTCAGCTTGGGTACAAACATCTTGTGTTCATCATACCTTATATGGTGTTGTTTGTACCTAAGCTAGTCCACAATGCACCTTGTTTATCGAACTCAGTAAAGACCTATGAATCTATAGTCAAGACGTCTTTCAACGCGCCTGCGCCTTTGTCTTAACATTAAGGATATCAATATTTTATAGCCTTAATTTCTTCGTCCTCGTCGACTTCCTCAGGATCTACCTCTTTGCATTCTCCTACATTATCTTCCTGGCTTGGCCCGCAAACATTATTTATCAAAACATACATGGCTAAGACTACGATACACACCACGCCAAAGAAAACGAACGTGAACGGAGCACCATAATGGTGGACCATGATCCCACCTATGACCTCCCCTGCACCGTACCCTAGTCCCCAGTGCATCCCGTGCAATATGCACTGCATGGTTGTAGCAGCGCCTGGGCCCGAGTTAAGGCTTACGTATGAAAGACAGGCAGACCACACAGCTGCTGTGGTGATGCCTGGTAAAAGTTCCACGGCGAGGACCATCCATGGATTTGGAATAGCTGAATAGTAAAATAACCTTATGGAATAACATATGAGACCAAGGTACAAAACCTTAGCATGTCCAATTTTTTTGATGAGCTTTGCTGACAAAAAATACATACTGACCTCGGCAAAGCAGTTCACTGCAGAAATAATACTAAAGAGTAATTGGCTGCCTCCTTTGTCTTTCAGATGCCAGAATAGAAAGGTTTTGATAAACGCCATTAAAAAACCTAGGTAAAGGGCAGTGAATAAAAACATAATATATTTAGGGTTTTTGAGAGCTCGGAGACCAACCCGAAGACTACCAGATTTTGCTGTTCTTGAACTCTCGTCAAAATGGAACCTCGTGGCCACAATTAAACCCAGAAACATCAAAATGGCAAAGGTGTAGAAACAAGGAATGTAATCGACTATCTCGTAGCTCTTGGAGTGACTGCACTTGTAAGTTGTCGTCAAGGATGCTCCAACGACGAACGCTCCAACTCCCCACCCAACCGATCCCGTCAGCCTTTGCTTTCCGTACTTGTACGTTTCCGTCCCAAGTAGTTGTATGGTTGCTGTGTCTACAAGGGCAAGTGTCGGAGATGAGAAAAGTGTCCCACAAAATGTGATAAGGAATAAAGCCAGGAAGCATTTGCTTGTGTCAAATTCTTTTTTCACAATCTCGCCGCGCATCTCCAGGCTCGTTAAAACGTTTAATGGCCAAGGGCTTTCGTCTTTGTAGAAATAAGCCAAGTACTTGGATTTGTCTAAATCGACCATTTTGTCAACCTCTCCAGGTTCCATGATTTCATTTTCAGGATCATCTAACACTGGTCGATGAATAAAGTTAGGATGCTTTACACCAGTCATATTGCACAGTCTCTTCACGACAATCTTTCGTTCTACTGGGGCAGGTACCAGAGACAACGAGAACGTCGTTGTGATAAGAGCAATCATAGATATGATCAGTACAGCCTTACTCTTGTGACATTTGTCCACTATCGCTCCCCAGATTGGTATTACAAGAAAATTTACAAACGGTTTAAGTCCCATAAGTATGCCAACTTCACTAGGCGATAACATCAATTGCTTGAAGTATAGCGCTAAATAGGGCAAGAGTGAGCCCCAGGCAGAAAAGAAAAAGAAATAAAATGACTTTGGGACTAAGAGGGTTCTGTTGACATCAGGACAACACCGCTTGTCTTTCTTGTGGCTCCCTTCCTCGTCTTCTTCTTCATCGACGTCTTCAACTACTGGCTTTTTATCCTCGGACATTGTGCTATAATAATTCCATAAAAAGGACGAGTAATATCAAAACGAATTCAAAGCACTGTCCTAGAAGATCCAAAAATAATACCTATTAAAGGACTATGACCACTTTAGGATTCCTTTCGATCACGTCAGAGTGGCCGGAGATTTGACCTCGGATTTCATTCGTCGATTTCAAGCAAAATGGCGTTTGGATCATCAATTATTYACCATATACCATGAAGTACATGCAGATGCTAGGACACATTTTGGCGATTTTTTGCATCAGTGGATTCGATTGTTGTTTTATTTTAAGGCGTTAGGTTCAACTGGTAATAAAGCAAAAAAAAAAAAAAAACCTCGAATAAATATTTTTCAACAGAGAAAGGACATAATTTTAATTTCAATGATAGCCTAATTTGGGCCTTATTAGTATCTGCCAAATCCAACAAGCTTATAAGAAGGAAACAACACCAGGTAAAAAATAAGTTAATAACAATCACTGACATTAGTCTTTCTTTAGTCCTCCGAAAAAGGCTGGACTTCAGTGCTGTTATGTAATTTTTACGCGGTGTTTAAGTGTCCTTCTTATTTACTTATTTCATTTTGATTTGGCTGACCTTAAAGGAAAAAAGAACGGAGTCTTAGCATAGTGAACAATTACTATCTTGTAGAATGGGGCACGGATGGTTCGTTTTTAGACAGTACCAATTATAATTTATGTTTTGTAAAAAGTAAAAGGAATCAATAAAAAACAATGCAATACAATACATAGAGGATATTACATGGGCGCGCGGAGATACGAAATTTATCTTCGAGTGTTGAAAAGATCTCTCACAAGTGAGCGCAGCGAACGAGTGAGAGATTTTCAACACGAGAAGATAAATTTCGTATCTCCAAGCGGCCATGTAATATTCTGTTTATTATATAATTATCAATGAAGCTAAAAGTATGTTTTGGCTTTTTCAGACAATTCTTTATTTGTATTTTTGAATAGCCATCGCAATGGCGTTATTTTCACACGTGAAAATAACATGTTATTTTCACGTGTGAAGATATCARTTTTTCGAAATAGAGAAAAATAGATATTTCATTGGTAATTATATAATAAAATACTTTATTGATGGTTTTCAACCATTCCCAAGAGAATTAAATAGCAAAAGACACGGCGGCCATGTTGGAGGATATAACTAAAGAATTCATTGACAATTATTTTGTTAAGTTCCTCCAACATGGCCGACGTGAAAGCCATCAATTAGTCCATCCTATAAAGGTTTTTCAGAACCAATTTACAATCTTGTTAATTATAAATAACCAATTAAAACTAAGAATTTACTATGCATGTGGAAAGAACTTAAAACATAATGATAATGATATTACAATAGAGCATTATAATAATCTAAGCTAAAGAGAAATACTATTGATTATTGCACATTGCACACTGCGCAGCTCAATTTTGGCCCTCCACTTAAATTTCTTCAAGGTCTTAGAGTTTTTGGTCTGCGTGCTAWGTGAGTTGTAAGTCTTAACGCCATGGTAAAAAAAAAGGAGCGCTAGCTGAGCAATTGCAGTACGGCAAAAGGGAACATTCAGATGATCGCTATGTCTATTGCTATTATTGTGTACCTTTGCACGATTGGACAGTTTGCTAGCTGAATATAAGAATTTTTTCTGAGTCTTTCAATTTGCAGCTGCATAAGTTGCATGTTATACTGCGAGGATCAGCTCAATTTGGTACATGACAACCGCAGTACAAATATATATTTTATATATACTCTCATACAAATATAAATTGGAACTAAATTTTTCAAGCGTATACCATTGTGACATCCCTAACCTTCAGCTGTTTGTGCACAGGGAGCCAATCAAKTTCTTTTTATTACTGGGRTGATATGATCAAACTTCTTAGTGTCAGTTGGGATACGGGCTGCAAAGTTCTGAATTAACTGAATCTTGTTTATGTTCCTGACCAAATTGTGAAACAATAAAACAMTTGTTCAATTGCTAAAAACAAGTGATTTCAGCATAAGCCTAGCTTAGTCTTTTCTGGGGATGATCAGTAATGAGTGGGAACTACACCATCCTGCAACGCTCTGGAGATCAGCTGAAACTTTGGACAGGCCAAGTTCAATGTCTTTGTTAGAAATTGATAGATATAACTTGGTATAGTTAACATACGACTCCACATTACAGTTTTCCACAGTTTTGTAGCAATGCAGTAAGAAAAGAACAACGCCAAAGAAAAACAGTAAAGGTTTGAGATTTGACATGACACGCCAATTATTAGCTTGTTTAGAAAGTTACTTTCAGAAGGTTGATACGAACCAAAAGTTTGGGTTGAAACATTTTTTATTGCAATAGTTTGTTTTCTAGGCAACGTATACCACACATCGGCACAGTTTCACTGAGAAGAAGAAAAAAATACTACGAAATCTTTTTTTTACGACAAAAAACCGCTCATAAGCACAATCACGTGGAAATGGTTCCTGCCATTTTGTTGAGCATGCGCAGTGCGATTTTCTGCGAGCTGACAAACATGTCATTGTTCATAAGTTATCATTGTTTTTCGTAGATATTTTAATGTCTTAATGATGTAAGAAACGTTGTTCGAGGCCAAGTATGCAAAAAGGAAGATCAAAGAAAGTATTGCTAGGTAAAGAAAAGACGTCCCAGTACCTAACGTACTGACCATCAAACCGCCAAGCATCTCTCCTGTACCATACCCGAGGCCCCAGTGAACTCCATTTAGAACGCCTTGCATTGTAGTCGCGTTGTCAACATTAGACATGAGGTTGACGTATGATAACATGGCTGACCAGACGGCAGCAGATGTTATCCCCGCCAACATCTCCACTGGAAGAACAGCCCATGGATTTGAAAGCAAGAAATACGTAAGTGATCGAAGGAAATAACACAAGAAGSCCAGGTACAAAACTTTAATGTGTCCTAACGCCGTGATAAGACGTGCGGATAGGAAGTATATCGTTACTTCAGCGATACAATGTAGAGCAGCCATGATAGAGAAGAGCTCCTCGTTGCCTCCAAGATCCTTAAGATGCCAAAACAAAAAAGTCTTGATAAAAGCCGCTTTGAATCCAAAGAAGAACGCCGTGAACAGAAAAAGTAGAAATGTAAAATTCATGGTCTTTTTCAACGAAGAAAAATGTTCCAAAAAGAATTCAAATTTTGTTTCGTTTCTGCTTTTGTGAGCTTCTTCTAACGTGGTCTTTTTTGGAGTCTTTTCTTGGTGATCAGTTGAATGCGATACAGCGAAATCCAGCCAAGTTGCAGACAGCAGCGCAAAGACCATACATGCAGCAAAGGCATAAAAAGACAATGAGTAATCGATAAGTTTTGGTCTAGTCAACAAACCTGGACAATAATGAGTTGTAGAGACGCAAGCTCCGATCATGAAAGCAGCGACTCCAAACCCAAAAGATCCCCACAGCCGCTGTATACCGTACTTGTAATTCTCCTTACCAAGGTTTTTCATGGTGACAGTGTCTACCAGCGCAACAGATGGACAAGCCATGATATTACCAAACAAAAGAATAATGAACAACTGGAAAAATAAATGGTTTGTATCTGCAGTCTGCGAGTGCTCACTGACAGTAAAAAATACTAACGACCAGGGAAGCGCGCTTATCGAAGTAGGGTAAAATGTATAAGAGGGCATCGTGTAGTTCGAAGATTTTTTTGAGTAATTGTGCCAACGTCTAGGAAAAGAATCATTGAATATCGTTCTTCTTGAATGGTTTGCAGTTCTGTAATTTTGTGAACAAATTTTCTCCCTCGAGGAAACCAATGACAGTGAAAACGTAGTAAAAGTCGTCGCCGTCAGAGCTATCGTCAACACGAGTTTTCCTTTCTTAGTGCGGTCAACCAAAACGCCCCACAAGGGAGTGAAGATGAAATTGACAAACGGCCTTAAGCCCATTAGTACACCAACCTGGCTCGGTGACAAGTGCATTTCTTTGAAGTACAAAGCCAAATAAGGCAGTAGAGATCCCCAGGAGGAGAAGTAGAAGAAATAGAAAATCTTTGATGGCAGCAGAGTACGGTTAATCTTAGGACATATGGTATTCTTCTGAGAGGCATCATCGGATTTGCCTTCAGAATAGGTTTTTCCATCTTCAAACATTTCTTGGATGCTCAGTTTATTTTACTTTTTTAGGGAAAGGAATTTGAATCACAAATGGGCTGTTATAGTTGCATTTGATTCTAAGTAGCATGTCCCTCACACATATTATATAAGAGGTCAAATTGTCGGTCCTTTAGAGAAAAACCATGTGCAGGACTTGTTTTGGTTTATCCCCTATGCATATTTTATACAATGCACTAACCCGTCCATAGAGGCGATAAAATTGCATAGTATAGCTGAAAGCCATTCTGATGCTACTTTTAACATTGGGTTTTTGTTCTATCGCTTTAAAGGTAAKTATGATGTGATCTACAAAGGCATTTTAATCTTTGCAAACACCTCCATTGTAACGTACGAAAAGAGGTAATAGAGAGTTTAAGATTCTCGTTTACGGCAAACGTGAAACGTCAGTTGACCATTAAAAAATTCTTTAAAATTAGTGAAAAGGAATCGCAAAAAATATCCAAGTGATAGATAAAAATAAGAATACTTGTCTTTGTCGAGAAAGTTTGCAAAAGGTAAAGTGAAATGTAGAAAACGATGAAAACGTTTGCCGTTTGCGGGAAGGAAAAACGGGAATCTTAATCTGTCTAATAATATCTTTTCACTCTAAAGGACTGGCACGAGAGGCAGATGAAGTGTGAGTATTTCAACATACCAGCGTGAAATGGGAAAAATAGTCATAATATAAAATACCATGCTAACAAATATTTTTTTGAGTCTGGCATGGAATTGGGGTGGGTAGATGCTGAAAAATGGTCTCCAATCCTTACACTTCCTATTGTTGTCACTTGCCTACTGGCCTTGTTACAAGTGCACGCAGGTGCTCGTGGTTGCAAGTTTGTCTTTTAAAAGATTCAAGGATCACTTAAAACAATAGGCTAAAAATAGATAAAAAGCAAAGAGAAACAAAAACTTTTCAGAAAGGGATATTTTTTTAAAGCAATTTAAAAGATGTCACAATTTTTCAGGTATCATGGCGGACTGTATCAAGGAAAACTGCCCAATTATCTTTCAAATATTTTGTGCTTTTCTTTCTCGTGTTTTATTAAAATTAAAAGCCCATATTTAAACATATTTTTTCTGATATTTCAGGATTAAAATATCTTGGAAATTACACGAGTCATTTAGTATTACACCCCCTTATAGTTACCTCAGTCACCAGTAAATTTGGATTTTAGAATCAATTTTAAAGTGTTGCATTGAAATAAACATCCTAAACGTTTAAACAATATCTTAGGTCTTATAGATACGTAATCGTTCTAAAACTATAYATACTCACTCAACTAACTGAGAAAATATTTTTTTGCAAAAAATGTATAACAGCATTTTAAACGTGATCTTATTATAATGAATTTTGTTGAGAATGACAACATGAGGTCGTCGCGTCGAAACGTCCAATATTTTTGTCCCTGATTTTTTAAAGAGCTTTTAAAGATCTTAATTCCTGCTTCGAAATCATAAAATCGGCAGGGTGATCTAGAGCGAATAACGTAAAACAGTCATAAGGGCGTGGGATTACTTAAAAAAAAGGAATACTTTCACCATGGTAATTTGTCATGTGACATTCATTTAGCCTCGAACCCATGAAGATTGGCATGGCCCAGGGCGACTCGAGTACATCAACCGCGAGGACCTGGAATGTGCTCCGTATATTTCCGTATATAGCAACGCATTTCATTCTGGACCTGTCATTTTGGAGTAAAGGACACAAGGTCTTATTAGATCAAAACAGGTGGTGATGCCCTTGTTAACAAATGATGTCACTTGCTCAACCGTGACAACCAAAACATCTAACAGAAATCCCRTATTCCGAGAATCGCTCGTCTTTGATTATATTCTATGTCCTCGGGTTTGTGAAAAAAGCCACTGGGCCCCAACCTAGTGATGGCCAGCAATAAAGAAAGCGACGAGGAGAAGGTCCAATTAGAAAGTGATCATGAAGAAGATGGACGGGACGAGAAACACACAAATCAATGCTGCAGTGGTTGTTTGGAAAAGATCAACAAAAAGCGACTGGTGTCTAAGATGTTTTATTTCTTTTACTTCTCGGCGTTTGGTTCCCTGTGGCCGTACCTTGCGTTGTATTTCAAACAACTCTTCATCTCGCCTCGCCAGCTTGGTATTCTAGTCGCTATCAGGTCATTCTTACAGTTTGTCTTCACGCCAATTTGGGGAGCCTTCGCGGACAAGTACCAAAAGAGTAAATTCGTGTTACTAGTTGGGCTGAGTTTTTGGCTTCTCACAACCTTTTCAATCGCTCTTATTCCAAGCCTGGAAAAACCATCCGCTTGCTACAGCCTCAACTCCATTGCATTTATCACAAACAACACTAGAAATATCTCTGTGATGTCTTCATTAGAGACAGAAAAAAGTCATGGACATGATGACGACTCAACATGGATTGGCAGTATAGTTCCATGGGGTTTAGGGTTCTTTCGGTCCTACGAACCCGAAAAATCTGTTATATTCAAAGAACTCTCTTTTCCGAACTTCAAGTCTCATAAAACTCCAGAACCAGTCGCAGACTCTTCAAAACTGTTTGTCGGGCTTTTAGTGATCACTATCATTGGAGTCATGTTTTCTTCACCTACTCAATGCCTTGCGGACACAGCGACCATTCAATTATTAGGGAAAGACACACACGAATATGGGAAGCAAGCTTTATGGGGGTCTGTAGGTTATGGATGTACTGCTTTCATCGTTGGTGCCTCCATAAGTGGTCAAAAACGCATGAATCCTTGCAGCAAGGAGATGAACATCAATTATATTCCATGTTTTTATGTCTACACTGTCTATATGTTCTGCGCGTTGTGTGTGGCTACGCGTTTCCAATACCAGGCGTCGAGCGGTGAGGGCAAATGCAAGCCGAGTTTGTTAGACAGCCTAAAAGTTTTAAAACAATTTGACTACGCTTTTTTCTTGTTTGTGGTCTTTTTCTGTGGAACTGCGACTGGATTTATACAAACGTTCCTTTTTTGGCACCTCAGAGAGCTTGGCGGGGAACAGATTCTTTTTAGCTTGATCACTATCACTAATAGCACTGCTGAGGTCGTATCGTACATGTTCTCTGATCGATTCCTCTGTCATATTGGACATTTTAGGGTCATATACCTCGGTCTTGTTTGCTATTCATTGAGGTTTTTCTATTACTCATACTGCAGTCAGCCATGGTTGTTCTTACCCATTGAATTAATTCAAGGAGTAACTACAGCAGCGATATGGTCATCTTTTGTTTCCTACGTGGGATCTATACCCGGGATGGCTACGACACTACAGGGGCTTGTCAGTGGGTTCTATACGGGTCTCGGATATGCCACCGGTGGCTTTGTCGGGGGGCTTATGGTCCATGTCTTCGGTTCGAGTACGTCTTTTCTGGTGTTTGGAGAGATGAGTCTTATTGTATTGTTCATGTTTATTATTGTCAATAATATACGAACAAGCAAGCATGAAATTGCGATAACTGCTCTTAATCAATCTAAAAATTTTGTATCTGAAAGACACGATAGAAAGACTAACGGGCCTCAAGAAGATATGGAAAATCAGAAGTCAGAATGACAAATTTAGTAATGACTTTTTTTTTTTGCTTCATCACTGGCTCTGTCATCTTAGCTTATAGCGAACCTGCACAATAGACCCGTTTCGAATTCCAAATTACCGCTGTGTTTCTTGATTACAGACTCATTTGCACAGGGTTAGCCTCGAGTTTGTGCAGAATATTCACGTGTTCCAGTCAAGGTCCGTCGAGTTTCAAAGTGTTTGTATTGTTGAAGCTGTGTATTCTTTACTTTACTGTTGGTATTTGTGAATATTTAAACACTGATACGAGGCTAACTCTGTGCAAATGAGTCTGTAATCAAGGAACACAGCGATAATTTGGAATTCGAAACTGGTCTATTCAGAATTAAAACTAGTAAAGTTATTTTCGAAAAGAAAACTCATGAACAGAAAAAATATAAACAAGTTATAGTAATGCTGGCCAAAATCCATAACTCTATATTATACGATGAGCAAAATTCTGGATAAAACGAGGAAAATCCAAACTTTTGTGAATGCTTAATATTTTAAAAATATCCTCGTTGTGAGCGCTGCAGGGTGGCTTTATCACACGAAATCTTGCAGCTATTTATACTTATTTTTACTCGTTGATTTTTTCATTTCATTTTATAAGCTTCTTCTATAATTATTTGATTAAGCGAAAATCGATAATAACTGAATGAATGGAGTGCAGCTGGTGTGTGATTAACTGATTTAAAAAATAAATTATAATAATATAAAAACAATTTTTATAGTTTTCACTCGTGTTATTTACTATGAAGGACAAAGAAATTCCTAAGGGAAAGCCATTCATATCATTTCCAATTCAATTCAATCCTACATATTCATTTCGATTTGCTATGCTCTGGGTTTGAAAAATGTTGGTTAACTCATGTAAACGAAATACCTTTTTTATTAATAAATTTGATTTTTTTTTTGTTTTTTGTCAATACAGTCAACTCTCGCCTTGCGGACACCCCGATATTACGGACACCTTGCTATTACGGACAGAAAAAAAATCTCCGACAAAAATACCGACAAAGAAATGACCGTAAATAATTTTCGCTATTGCGGACACTCGCTATTACGGACATGCATTGCCGTTCCCAGGGCGTCCGCTGTAACGAGAGTTGACTGTATATTCTTTACAAATTGAGATTACCACAGACAGAAAGTAAGACAACAGTCGTTTGACTAATATTGATTTTACAGATTAAAGTACATATCGGCGAATTCAAAATATTTTGATAAACTTATTAGTCTATCAAAAAATAAACAAATTAACCAATCTATAGAATTGTCCAGTGGACCGAGATGAGCACCGGTTCTCGATAGGCTGCAGGGTACGCTACTTTACGGTTTGCCCCGATTTTGAAGGATTGACGAGCATTCAATTCTTTTTTCTTTTAATTTTGCGCGACTTGTTGTTTGTATATATTGCAACAAGGATGCCCCGATCGGTCCCGCCCCAATGGACTACCTGTCTTGTGATGTTCGGGTTGACTAAATACACATAAAGAATATAAGAGCCCGTTTACATGAAGGAGTGACCTTTGTGCAAGAGACAATTCAACTTTTGAGCGCTAGCCATCACGTGGTATAAAACGTGTTGGATTGTGTTACGGTCACCAAGAAGTTCGGAAATTGTTCTCAGATTTCCGTACGATYGTACTGACTTTTAATCAAATTATTTACTGGGTTTGTTTAGTTAGTTCTCTAAATACAAGTAAAATATCATTTCTCTAACTGGATTGAAGCTTTTCTTACTGCTGTTTAGGAACTTCGACTCCCACGCCACTTCCTGCGTGCTTCATTGCTGAACGGAGCACTGAAAAAGCGGTTTTATTTGTTAATTAAAAAAGTGTAATTCGCAGGTACCTAACGCTTTGAAAGGAAAAAAATAAAAAACCTTCATTTGAAAACTATATAGATAAATATGATGCAATCAGAGATGACTGACATTTAAATGACCGACAATTGCTTCTAGCCTCTGATTTCTCGTATTCAATTAGCGGGGGAATTTGGTTAAACAGTACAATTGGAAAATGAAGCGGTCCCCCGGTCATTTCGATTCTTGTCATATGTTTTTAAAGGAGTCATTCTTTGTTTCAACGGAGACCGATTGCCACAGCGATAAATCTTACAAATTGTTAAGTATTTTTTCAATATTGCCATTATCCCATATCCTTTCTCTTCTTTGATGTTCGTTTTTCATCATTTTTTCAATCCTAACCTTCTTTTCCTTCCGTGCATCATTCTCATCGTCTACTTTAGGGTTCTCACCATCAACCTTCTTGTTTTTATGTCTAAAACTCTTGTAGTACTTGTTGAACCAATTGAAAATTTTGATGAAATCTTTAGCTTCTTTCGTCACTTCTGAAGCCAGCTCCAATGTTGTGAGGTTACTCTCAGTATGATTTGTTTTGGTAAGACCAGCCTTATTCTCAACATCTTTGGCTTTATCCTCTTGGGTTAATGTTTTTTGAGGCTTGAATTGCGTGGTATTTGCAGGCTTAGGCGTGAATTTCGTTTCATTAATCGGGTTTGGGAAGCGCGCACCGCTAGCATATTGAAGGTTCGAAAACAAGGACGCAACCTTAGGACCATATTTATCTAATACCTGCTTTAACGTAACTGTTGGACCAACCTCCTCTATGAGACGTTTTAAATGCTTTTCTGCTTCTAGAGCCTCCGCTTTTGCTCTGAGATCAATGGCTTTTTGATGCCATAGAACAGGATCATCTTGAGACGAGATTCGTTGTGGATAACCATCGATAACAGGATGCGCGCTTTGAAACTCCGTATAAGGCATATCTTGCGAGGAAGGAAGTGGACTAACTGGGATGACTCTAGAATCTGCAAATTCTTCAAATGGTTGTAATGTTTCCTGGTATTTCATCGCAGGTTCAAATGGTAACCTAGAAGGAACTTCCTCTAAAGCTGGTCTTTGTCTTTCTTGGTCTTCAGTCATGAAATTCCTTGTTCTTTGCAGCGTGTTTTCGTAATCTTGCTCATCTAAAAACCGATCATTACTTTCATCTCTTGGGCTTACTAAGTCGCCATCATAACTAAACCCTTGTCGCGGTATGTACCGTTGTCTTGGTTCTTCGTCGTTTCTGAAGGGAAACTGTTGTTCTATAGGTGTAGGCTCCCTGTCTAGATAATGCGCTCTGAATAAAGGCAGTTGGTTTACAAGATATCTCCTGCCATAATCATCGTACAGTTCTTGCGCTGATGGAACTAACACTTTCTGTCTTTTAGCGATCGGGTTGCCGACATCTTTCTGTTTGTTCCTTCGTAAAGGAATGGTTTTGATTTGGGTGCCAGAGGCAGGGGCTGTAAGCAAAACAAAAAAAGCCAGAAATTCAAATGAAAAGAATGCTACAAACAAGTATTAATTTTTATACAGACACCCTAATTTCGTGGACTACTTGCGCAAAACACTCGTCGGCAAGTAAAGCCTGAAGCCAATTGCAATGTATTACCCTTTAGTATATCTGACAGACAAAAATTATATATGTCAAAGACAGCTTATTAATAATTCATAGCTATTAATGAATATACTACCATACCTAGATTGACAGATGCTTGGCTCAATAACGCGCAGGAAAAGAGCGCTAAGAGAATATGAATCACTTTTGGCGCTATCATAACTCGTATACCTGAAGAAAGAAATACTCTCTGTTAATGATAGTGATTTTGCATTGACATTTGGCTTTTTTGTCGGCTTTCCTCGATAGAGAATACGAACGAATTTCTTCGATGACTACAGACTGCCGGGCATTTCAAAATTTAGCTTTCGGTCAAATCTTCCCTTATTATAGGCCCCTTGCACCGAGAGGAATTTTTCTGGGGGACAAAACAATGGATTATTATTATTTGCATAAGAAAAGACGGCCCATTGTTTTGTCCCCCAGAACAATTCTTCTAGGAAATCAATGCAAGCGGACTATAGTCTGCGTATTCAATTTTATTTAAAAAGCAAAATGTAGGAYCATACCTCCAGACGCATTGCTGAAGCGCAGTATGGCAGCGCGAAGCATTTACGGCTATGCCGGAGATTTCGGCCCCGACACCGCTATCCCTGGATTTACAGACTGATCAGGAAGCTCGGCCGAAGCCTAAGGGAGAGATTAGTCGGCCCCTAGACCATAGATGATTAACCCCTTGCTATGACCAGCAGACCCGATATGACGACTGTATCCTCAAAGCTTAAGCTCCCATAGTCACTCTTTTCCATGTGGGACCCTTTTTGAAAAACTTCCCGCGACAAAGTATATTTTACACGCAAAGTAGTACAAAAATACATTCGAGGTCTTATTTGAGGAAAGATTGATAGAAAATATCTATTGCAAAGCGAAGGGATAAGGAGGGAAGRAACGAATGATCCACTAGGCAGCTATGGCGTCATGCGCGCGCCATTTTTTTACAACTTTACGTCCCATTTACTTTTGTCCAGACCAAAAGAACATCATCAAGGTCCTCTTATCAAAACGTATATTAGTTATTGATGATCATGGGAAATCCACCCTTTTAATTCAATGGGGCCAATCTGTGGTATTCATAGACGCGAGGAATAGTTGAGGGGTGAATGAGAACGGGTTCAAAAGCTAAAGATTGGAAGTCCATCTTTCGATTCCTTTTCATTTTGACGCACATCACTAATGATATTAATCTAATCTAAGTTCATATGGATCAGGGACAGCAAATATCCTTTACGATATATACTGCATTCACGTTAGTTCAATTGAGTTATGTATAACCATATCAGCTACAGGAGTGTACAGTTGTTATTGTTAAGGTTTACTGTAACCGTTTTTGTAACATGATCAAACATATCAAAATTACTCACCCAGTTGAAGTTTTCACTTGCTGTTCATCGAACCCCTTTTATAATACAATTTCAAAGATGGAAAATTCGGTTTTAAAGTGATAACATAACGTACTATACGAATGGGAAGGCATCAGTTCCAAGACTTGTGACTCAAAAGTTGGTCTGTTTTGCGCGGTATTTATTTAACTGGTACCTGACTGAATTTCAAAACCTTCTCGCTGAGTTTGAAGACGTCAACAATGAAGTTTATAGGTTTCATTTGCTTGTGGTATTGATCTTGTTTATAAACAATAATTAAAATACAAGATCGTACTAGGAACGTATACGTAATAGAATGGTCAAGTAAACGAACAAGGGGTAAACAGTAATTCTAATGAATGGAGGAGAACATTGCAGTCAAGAATGGTATGTAGCTTACAGCTAGCGTTACTTTTCTTTAATTTTTCGACGCCACCAGCAGCAAGAAAAAATGAAAATTCATGCATTTTATTAATCTCAAAAAGGTTTGAAAAGTTTATATTTTGAAGGCCATGCAACTGTTTATTTTAAAACTATTCTAATGCATAATTAGCGTACAACATGCCTGCGCGTAGCGTTCCAAAAGGGATGAGAGGTGGGGGGTGGGGGAGGTTTGGATGGATGACAAGGGTCATCCCCATCCCTTTTGGGTCACTACGCGCAGGCTTATTCTTTAGGGCAGTTCTGTAGGACAGGGACGATGCAATCGTTTATCAAACTACATAATGGCTACCACGATCCCTTCTGTAGACAAACAAGTGTGTACCTGCACTCAAGGAGTATGACGGCAATCCTTTTCAGAGTAAGTCGTATGCCAGCAAGCTGGATTTTTCATTCATGCCAAGCATGTAACGTAAGCAATAGTGTAGTCTGGAATAGGATTCTAGTCAACCATATATTCACTTTCATATATGCTAATGTTATTTTCTCAAAAAAAAGCCCTTCCAATGCACCAGAAGTTACTTTCTTTTATATCTTTCCACTTAATCGATTTTTGGTTACACAGGCACTTGAACGGTAAAGGCGTATACGACACATGCCATTGTTATGTCAAAAAGCATCTTACTGTGAACTTTTGAAGATCAGTGATGACGCTTATGATTTCTTTATTTTATACAAACTTTTAAAAAATTGCAAGAAGTTTTCAGCTCTTATAGTTATTTTGTTTCAGAAAGAAGACTGGCGTTGACTTCGTTGATTGGCGTTGGAAGTTTTATTAGTTCGCTCGTTTGTTTTAAAGCGTTTTAAATTATTCAAGAGGTTCGGGCTAACCAGAATAATGTTTAGGTACACTCTTAAGATATCTTCATATGCACCAACCTTATTACTGCAGCGATTTTTTGCCACGAGTAAGTTTTGTAATTGAAGAAGTAAAGAGATAATTTCAATTTGAAAATAACGAAGAAAGTTGAAGACACCTTTGCACAAGCATATATAGTGACATGACAATACCACAGACAGCGTGAGACGAACAAGAAAATTAAACACGATAGATAGACAAGCTCTTCATTGTCTATCATCCAAACCGAACTTTTGTTTTGGCAGCTATATGACCTCGCCATGGCGCACCTGTCTAGATGTGATTCATTTAAATAACTTTACTTTCAGACTCTTAAGAAACGAGACAGATTTTAACAAGTATTCAGTTACATTAAAAGTTGATAAAAATTTCAGTTTGCACTTCGTGTAAAAACTGGTGTAGTCTTTTTCTTTATATAAGATGTACGTTTTTCCAGGATTTCTTATGGAGCAATTCAAGTATAAGTTATTGAATAACTGAAAACACTAGAAGCCAATTTGTATACTAAATTCTGAGTCTAAGCTGAATAATTTGACTAAACTTATAAGTTTGAGCTCAGTTCATTTTAAAGTTATCTAGCTTACGGTTTTAGAGATGTATAGAGCGAAGATCATAGACATGGAGTGAACTATGAACTTTCTAAGTTAACGCCAGGGGAAACTTCTGAATCGTTTTTCTTTCTTTCTTTTTTTTTTTCTTTTTTTCTTTCTGTCTTCAAAATCCTTGATTCCTTGGCGCCATCACTATTCTTAGATCACGCAGTTAGTGGTATCTGTTAGGCATTTCAGATAAAATTGTGCTGTTACATCCAATTTAAGCTTTGCCCGCGGTACATGTGCCTGAAATGATTGTGGTCCTGCAACATTTCACCTTTTAGGGTATAGGGATATGTAATAGAGCTTTACGAAAGCATTTTTTATGCCGAACGTTTATTTCTAGCTTGAGCTATTGTACGTGCATCGATTACTGGTTTGYCTTCTAATGATGCTTGCTGCAGTTGGTCGAACCTGTATTTTCTTGGTATTTGACGTTTCGAGGTCGTCTGCGCGAGTAAGGGCTAGGAATGGGTGGAAAGAATGCAACGGTCTTGCGTTCWAACTTGTTCCATTCAGATCCAACCTTATKTCCCTGAAGGCTTTCTTCRAACGAATATTCAGGATAACCAACTSGCTTTATCACTTTCTTGGCYAYTTTTGGTTGTGGATGTTTTGGCTGCGATTCCTCCACAYTCTTTGATCTTTCACTACTATCTCCTGGTAASACATTWGCARCTTGACGATGAACTTGACGAACCTGTTGCTTGTTCTTCTTTGACACCAGTACATAGACTCCTTCACAGTCATGCTCCTCTGATGGCGTCTGCGTCGCTTTCTCTACAACATAGCTACTAAACTGCTCAACAGGAAGTCCTGAAAGTGGATTTCCTTTCTTCGTCACAACTGTTTTCTTGTCGAGYTTGTCTTCCAACTCCTTTATTCGAGCTAAGAGGACATGGAACAGTTGTCTTTGCTGGTCATTTTTGATATTTTCTATTTTCATCAGAACACGATCGATTTTGTTCTCAACGACTTCTAGTCTTGCTTCAGCAACTCGGCTATCGATAAAATCTTGTATGTCATTGATGCTCAGAAAATGCTTCTTTGAATCGGAGTGGTCCATTGTAGCTCTTTGTTCCAAGTCGATAGAATCTCTTTCTGATGATGATTCCTTCGGAAAGTTCTCTTCATTTTCAGYGAAGGCTTCATCAGAAATTCTATTGGCTTGACTTGCACCATTTCCTAATTCTTCCGGTTTTCCTTTTGAGGATTTCGCCAGCTTTAGTAGCTTTGCTCTTTCACATTCGTCTTCAAAGTTCACATAACTTTTATCCAATTCTGTAAAATCATCTTTCAACGCTGACTCTTTCCTAAGCGGTTTTCTGTTTTCCTCTCCAAATGTCTTATCAAGATCATTTTCAACACTGTCGCGATTTTCATTAATTTTCCAATTCTCTTTAAGTTCTACATTGCTCTTAACAACGCGTTCGTGTTCATCACTTTTGTCATCTAGTACAACTTTCTGGCCATGTTCTGAGCTATGTCCAAGGTTAGACGAGTTATTAAGCTCAGAATTGACTTCATCCATTATCGAATCCAAATAAATATTAACTTGGCTTACAACTTTTTGCTAATCATTCCCTGACGACAAGAGAATCATGCACCTACGTACAGGTGTGTTTTACGTACTCGTGTGGCTCTAAGCTGGAATTATATTGGTAATCATTAAGTGATCGCCTTAGGCCAATAGTCAAAGACATTATTTCTAAAGATCCCATAGTTATTGAATAAACAAACCATTGTTGACTAAGAATTGCTAAAAATACTAACCAYTGCGGAGAATTTCTCGCCGAGTTTTGTTAAGGAATTTCGGAAAGAAACGTTCAATTAATGCAAATTCATAGATCTAGTTTAACAGATCTTTTGTTGTGAGATAACTAGCTACAATTAAACCCATTAACTGGGCAAGATGATGAAAAAAGCATAATTTCCAAAGCGCATTGGTAAAAACATCGCGACAACGATAAATTAATCTGCAAGCCGCAAAATGAACTTCGGAATCGAACCAAAGATTGAATTGGACTTTAGAAATGCGGGGTTGAGTTTGCTGAGGAGCCCCATAGGTCTTCCTAGAAACGTGAAATAAAAATGGCGCCAGACTATGCATAATTGTCCCCTGTCGTCTCAAAATCTTAATCATATTACAGAATTTCCTTTGACATGATTCTGTCAGATGTCATAATTCAGCGTTTTACTAGACTGAAGGAAGGTTATTGATGTGGCAACTAACATCGCTCCTTAAAGTACAGTGAAAATATCCATTATTTTAGCTTCGTTTCCACGTTTTGATTATATTTGAGTTACATTGTCCATATCAGTATAGAGCTAAAATGTTGTCTGAGATATAGTAAAAAAATATCAACATTATAAAAAAAAATAGATTTAACAAAAATAGATCTTTTGAAATAAAACAAAAGAGATAAAAAAGAAAGAAAAAGAGAGAAAAAAGAAAGGAAAGAAAAAAAGAAGAGAAGAGAAGAGAAAAGAAGAGAAAAGAAAAGAGAAAAGCTCTGCTTGGGTTTCCTGTTTTTTTAAAAGGCATTTAGCCAGCGGTATCCCCATCTTCGTATGCGCAACGGCCCATCACGCATGCTGTGTCATGGTCGCCATGTTGGATTGATTGAAGAAAAAGAAGTGAAAAAAGCCGGTAAAATTTTCCATTTTCCTTTGCTTTACGATCCCGTCTTAGACGCTGTAGTGATCTTAATTGCCAAATGCAAAGATATTCAACATGACAAARGATGTAGAAATGAAAGAATCGTCTACGGCGAAGAATAAAGACGAGTCGAAAGAAGAACCAAAAGAAGAAGTGTCAAAAGATGAACAAGAAAAACTAATTCTCGAAGGTAAAACATGCTTTGTTACTACGATAAAACATGCTTTGTTACTGCAATAAAACGTGCTTTGGATGAGTAATACTCTCATTAGTCTATTTCCTTAGCCATTATTCAAGATAGAGGTCTTTGTAACAAATATGCAGTCGAAAATATCTAATTGTTCTTGCATGTGCTTTCAAGAACTTTGCGTTTCTCCCTTGAGTWACAAAATAAAACCAAATTAGGTTATGAAAGCTCAAAAACATTATTCTTGATGGAAGATTTATTCATTAAAAGAACTTTTATATACTGGATGAAATAAAGTAATGGATGATTGATTGTAGATGATGATGACAAAAATGTCTAAAAATTGCATAATTTATATTAGTTTAAATTCTTGTTGCAGACATAAAGGAGCATGTAAAATGTATTGAAAAGGCWGTTGCAACTAAAGAACCAAGGTTTACTTTACGAACACTGAGAGGCATCCCAGGAACTAGAAGAAAACTAAGCCATCCTTTACTTAGAAAGCTTATTTGTGGGTATATGCCTTTAGGTGAGTAAATTTATGTTGTAGAACTTACATTAGAGATCTTTAGCATCAGGTTTACTGCTAACCACTAGGTATCAAGCCCATAAACACACCCACAAATGCATAGAAACACTCGGCACCAATGGAATTCATTATAGTGGCTCTTCCAGCAACAACTCCTTGCTAGTTATCGAAAGTTTGATGGAAAACTCCTGACGTCCTACTACAGTTTGACGTTTGTGGTACCTAGCAAGGACGTCATGCTAAAGGTCTCTATCATGTAATTCGATGGTGACATGTGCTTTATACGTAAGAACAACCAAGCATGCAAGTACGCTTCCTTTTTCATCATTCAAATTCTATATATTGGTAAAGCAATGAAAAATTGCTTGCTGTGCTGTGTGCACTTGTAAAGCACTTAAAGATTAGCAGAGAACTCAAGAAGTGTCGATAAGCACTCTGGAATGCATTGTGCTTCTCCTAACACTTCCCTAATGTTCCAGCGTCCTGCACACTGCATGCATGCATTTTTATCTATTTTTACATCAGATATTGACATTCTTCTTCAGTACACATGGGTATCTGTGTGTTATCAAATTGTTGGCCATTTTTTTTTATTCTGTTTGATACTTACAGCCAACTTTTTTTTTTTGTCTTTCAGCTTCACCCAATAAAGATGCTCTACTGGCATATCTGGATGAGGTAAATAGATACTAGAACATTTCAGTTGAACCTACAGTACATTTATTATGTCAAGTTCACATATTACCAGGGATTGGCACCAATTTTTTAATGCCAATCAGAGACATTATAGTTAAGTTCAAGTTCACTTTATTTCACATTGTTTACAATAAGATACATTTATATTATATTGATTATTAGTTATAAATAATTTGGTTGTAGATAAACAATTTGTAGTCATGTATGTAAGTKTGTAGCAGCCAAAGTAGCAAATGCTTTCGAGTTGGCTGCTATTAATAGTAAAATGTATGTTATCAATTTATTAATCTACCTTTAACTTTATATCGTTGTTTTTCAGCCAATGGATACAGAGGATAGTGGTGCACC